TCTACGACCTTTCCCAGATCTTTTCTTTCCTTTTAGGCATCAGATCAAATCTCACTTTTTCATATAGGACTTCTGAAACCACCCAACCTAACAGTAGCTTCCCCATTCCTTGCCAGGTACATCACTTCGGCTTATTTTCTTCACAGCACTTTGCAGTATCAGAAAGTATCTTGTCTGTTTATTGTCTATATTTCCTCCCTAGAATATAAGCCCATAAGAACAAGGACCTTTTCTGTTTTACTCACTGCTATATTCTCAAAGAACATAGTAGGTGCTTAATGATTATTTGTTGAATGAATGAATCTCTCTGAGCTTCATGTGTAAAGTGAAGATAATATCATCTATCAGACAGTGACATTTTAAAGATTAAAGATGTGTTTAGTACGAAGTCAACGACCAGAAAAAGGCAGCTTTTACTATGTGGCATAAAATATTTTGAGACAGTAATTCAAAATTTTCTATTTTTCTTGATTCCTGAAGGAAAGTACTTAGAATTTTTTAAAAATCCAGCTCATATCACAGAACGAGGGCCAATTTCTTCAAAATTTGTACAAAGAGATACAGAAAAGATTAACGACCCAATTGAAAATGGGTAAGGGAACATTCACAGAAAAGGAAATACAAAGAGCATTCAAATATGCTCAACCTCACTTAAAATAAGAGAAATGCAAATTAAATCTACACCAAAATACCATTTTTCACTTAACAGACTGGCAAAGATCAATTTTGCTATATAATGCCACATTGCATTACATATGGGTTTTACCAGCCTTCTATGTAAGGCAATTTGGCACCGTCTAGCAAAATTACAAATGTACATATTTTTCCATCCAGCAACCCCTAAACTCACACACGTGATATTAGTTACGTAATAAAGGTATCTACAGCAGCACTTCTGTATCTACCAGCCATATGGTGTTTACCAGAGGAATACTTGTGAAATAATGACACAGAAAAGTTGACACAAAAGGGATGCAGATATATTTATTTTATTTTACGAATACACATGGAGTGCCTTCTATGATGTTCAAAATACTTTAAAAATAGTAATTAGTTTAATCCTCCTAACAATCCTATGAGGCGAGCAGTAACTATGCCCATTTTATACGTGGGAACACTTGAGGTTATTAACTTGCTTGAAATCATATAGACAGGATATGTTAGTGCTGGGATTTGGAACCAGGCACTATGACTTCAGAGGCCATACTCTTAACATTGTTCTCTGCTGCCTCCCAATTTAGGGCAAAATAGAGAAAGAAAACTGATAACAGCGATTTTAAAATCTCACAAAATAGACTTTAAGGGATAACAGGGATACAGGTTTCATTGCTTGATGATAAAATTCATCTATCATCTAGTACTTATATGAATCTAACAACATAGCCTCAAAAATCTTTTAGGCAGAAATACAAGGGAAAACGAAAAAACCTACAAACATAGTGATACATTTTAATATACTTTTCCCCTAAAAAGTATGATACATGAACAAAAATAAAACAAAATTAGTAACATATAAAAGATTAAACAATGTAATAAACTTTAATATACAAATATTAGAAAACAAATATTATTTTCAAGTACACATGGAACATAAAATTTGACTTACACTAGGCCATTAAAGTTGTTTTTTGTTTTTCTTTAAAATAATTTTTTAATTTTTCAATTAAGTTGGCATATAATATTAGTTTTAGCTCACTAAGTATTAACCGATAAAGTCATACAGAACATATCCTAAGAACACAATATAATGAAGTTAGAAATCAGTAACAAAAAAGATACTTTTTTTTTTTTTTAAAGGAATGAAACAAAATGCATACCTCTGGAAATTTAAAACCACAGTTCTAAATAACTCATGGAAGGAGAATAAAACAACGAAACTATAATATATTTAGAACTGCAACAGTGAAAAACCACATAGCAAAAGCTGTGAGATTCCTTTTAAAAAGTAACATTCAGTTAAAGTACTTAAAAGAAAATATATGACCTTAAGCATATATGCTTTATCAGAAAGACTGATCAAAAATAAATCAGCTAAGTGTTTACCTAGAGAAATCAGAACATGAACAGCAGAGTATACCCCAAAACTGCAGATGGTGAGCAATATAAATAGAAATTAGTGAAATAAAAAAAAAGTAAAAGTATACTCCGAACAAATTAATATGGAAAAGACAAATAATCCAATAGAAAAATTTGCAAGTGATATAAACAGGCAATTCAAAGATGAGGAATTTTTTTTCTTGGCAAGTGATCATGCTATATTTAACTTTAATTAGGTACAAAGACTTTTCCAGTCATGTTACCTAGAGATCATTTCACCCGCTGCTCTGTTTGGCTGCCAGTCTCTTGTCTCTCTCTTCGGCAATGGTGAGGCGGATACCCTTGCCACGGGGAAGAGAAATCCACGGTTTGTTGCCTTTGCCAATAACGAAAATGTTGGAAAGCCGGGTGGCAAAGCTGTTGCCATTGGCATCTTTCACATGAACCACATCGAAAGAGCCAGGGTGTCTCTCTCTGTTGGTGATCACACCAATTCTTCCCAAGTTAGCACCTCCGGTTACCATACATAGGTTACCAGTGTCAAACTTGATGAAATCAGTAATTTTGCCAGTTTCCAAATCGATCTGAATGGTGTCGTTCACTTTGATGAGGGGATCAGGGTAGCGGATGGTGCGAGCATCATGAGTCACCAGATGAGGGATTCCTTTTGTGCCCACGAAGATCTTTCTCACTTTGCATAACTTGTACTTGGCCTCTTCAGGTGTAATCCGATGAACAGCAAAGCGGCCTTTGGTGTCATAGATCAGACGGAAATTCTCTCCCGTCTTGTCAATGCTGATGACATCCATAAAACCAGCAGGGTAGGTTACATCAGTCCGGACCTTGCCATCAATCTTGATAAACCGCTGCATGCAGATCTTCTTTACTTCATCTCCAGTTAGGGCATACTTCAGTCGATTCCTTAGGAAAATGATGAGAGGGAGACATTCTCTCAGCTTGTGGGGACCGGTAGATGGACGAGGAGCAAACACACCCGTCAGTTTATCCAGCATCCAATGTTTTGGAGCTGCTACACGCTTCAGATGCTTCTTGGGACCACGAGCCATGACTGCACTGGGCACGGAAAGGAAGCGAGACAAATAAATTTTAAGGGCTAATAAGTATATTAAAAAATGCTTATAATGAAGTTAGAATTAGTAATTAGGAAAATGCAAATTAAACAACAATTAGGTGCCATTTCCCACCCTTCTGACAGGCAAAAATTAAAGTATATTAAAATCAAGTTTCAGTAAAAGTGTGAAGAAAAGGGTGGAATGTAAACTGAGACAAAGCCCTTGGAAGAGCAATTTGGTGATATTCAGTAAGGTACATGCTCTTCAACCCAGCAATTCTGTTTCTAGGTATATTTTGGTCTCCAGAGATGTGTGTATCCATCAGGCACAAGATAATTACAGATGTGCTAAAAGGAAATATTAGAAGTTAAATTTATTTTTATCTAAAAGAAATCCAAGTAAGCTTTGCTAATCTTTAGTAGGTTGACTGACACTCGTGCCCTTTCTGAGTCCCTCATGTCAGACATCCTGGGTTATGCGGTAGAGCAGGTGGGTTATCTGGGTAAGGGGAAAGGGGAGTTTCCTATTTGGAAGGGTTGTATGTGTTTTCTTTCAGTGCTTCGTGTTGTTTTTTTCAGTGTTTTATGCAATTTATACATGTCCAGACAAATGGATTTACAGATTATGCTATCTAGATTTAATTTCCTAACCCCAAAAGGTAAACAAGGAGTTTAAACAAGATTTCTTTGAAGAAGCAAGATTAAGATTACAAATAATCCTAATGACTCACACACATGTGAACACTCCAGATTCAATGAAAATCCAGTCGGCATCCAGAGAGAGCCAGTTGGCCAAGAAGTGAGAAAATCACTGAAGTTCAAGAGGAACTCTTGCTGGTAATGAATCCCTAACAGTACTGACATGTATCTTAAAAATGGTTAAGATGATAAATTTTATGTCATGTGCATTCTACCACCATTAAAAAGAAAAATATAAGGGGGAAAGTGATAAAGCATATTCGATCACATCACTTTCACTAAGGATTTTTGTACTACAAATAAATAAATATTTGTTATACACTATTTTACTTTTTAATTGTCTTTTTTATAGTTATCTTTTTGAATGCCTTATGATGGACATACTCATTTGGTATGTTGGTTCGCACATTTAATTTATAAATAAATACATATTCAAATATTAGGGATGCATGGTGAAAATATTTTTAGAATATGTGGAAAAAATATGTATGATGCTCACCGGTCTAGAGAAACTTTCCCACAGGTGGGCAAGGAGACATATATAAGAATGTGAAATGAAGCACTGTTTAGAAAACGAAGAAAACTGAAATGTCCAAATGGAGCAACTGGGGTATAGCTGAACAATGGAATACTATACAGTGGTTTAAATGAATGGATAAGAGCTATATGTATCAACATAGGTAAATATTTTTTAAAATCTTAAGTGAAAAAAAGCACATTGCAGAATGAGAAGTCCAACATGCAAAACAATGTTATATATTGTTTAGGGATACTTGCATATGGATGGATACATACACATTTTGTAATATGTATTACATATGTAGTAATATGTAAGGTACTATGTTTCAAAACATTAAAGAGGAAGATAAATACCAAATTCAGGAATAGCAGTTGCCTCTGGGGAGAGAGGGAAGAAAATGAGACTGAAGGAAAGGTTTCAAGTAGGCAGTATTTCTTAAA